GACATGTCAGAATTACTTTTAGAGGGCTAGGTGACGTGTAAAACTAAGGTTTTATGGCTAAAGCCGTACTTTTACCAAACCCTTACACTAAAATGTGCCCTTTATTGTTAACTTTATTTCTGACTTTGCTGCCAATAATTGAAATTCCACTTTGATCTTGTAAACATATCTTTGAAGCCAAATCTTACTTACGTATGGCAATCTTTATTTATGGAGCTCTTATTTAAGGTCTTTAACGCCCATCATAAATCGGAGTTTTTCAAACTGATTTTGACTCAAGGGTTTAGTTAAGGCATCCGCTATCATATCATTGGTGCTACAATAAGTAACCCTGATTTGCTTATCTTCATGTTTATCTCGTGCAAAAAGATGTCTAATATCAATGTGCTTAGCAGAAGAGTGACTGCACGGGTCATTAAAAATACTGATTGCGGCCGTATTATCACACCAACAATGAGTCGGTAGTAATTGCTCGTAGCCTAATTCCTGCAGTAGTAATCGTAACCACATTGCTTATCTTACTCCTTCACTAGCGGCGACTAGTTCTGATTCCGCTGTATTAAGACTAATACAATCTTGCTTAATACTCTTCCAGGTAATGCATGCACCAGCGAGAATTAATACATATCCTGTAATTGATTTCCTTTCTTCAGATGCATTCGCGAAGCTCGCGTCTGTGTATAGCTCTAACTTAATAGTACTATTACCATCGTACTCAATGCCATACCTCGACGTTCCTTTCAAGTACTTTTAGTACTCGCTGAGCCGCTCTCCAATGAGTCTTATTTTAGCAAGATAGATATTTACTAAGCTCTCTGACAGCATTAGCGATATCAGGTCTAGTTCCCCTAACTAGGTACATTAAGGACCCAACTAACCCTCCGTAGTCGAATGACTGTGCCGCTATTTGTTCGGGTGACAATGTCTTTTCCTTCTCTAAGACCACAGCTTTTGCTTGTGGTGTAGGTGCAGTATTGCAGTCTCTCATCTCAAACTTATCTAAAAGGTCGTTAATATACTTTTGTTGAGATAGGCGTAGAGTCCTTATTTGTAAGGTCTCTTTTAATCTCCATTTTAAGCAGGTAGTGCAACTCACCCAAGTCTTTCATAGTAAACTTGTCAGACAGCTTAGCTTTAAGATCATTTATAGAACTTAGATGTGATCCTGCAATTGTCAGGTCGTCCACATACACACACACTATAAGGACGTGCTGAACCCCATTTATCTCCCACCGTTTTAGATACAAGCAATGCTCTTTCTTGCATCTAAAAAAGCCTAAGGTTTTTAAAAAGGTATTCTAAACTTCATACCAAATTCTATGTGCCTGTTTCAGTCCATACAGGCTCTTCTTTAATTTGCAAACTAGATTTTCAGTTCCTTTGCGAAACCCCATTGGTTGCCTCATGTAGATATTTTCACTTAAAACTCAGTTTAAAAACGCTGTAGATACATCCATTTGGTGTAGATGCAGCCCTAATATTGTGGCTAATGCCAGTAATAAGCGCAACGATTTATATCTTGCTACAGGTGCAAACACCTCTTTATATTCAATTCCATACAATTGTGTATTTCCTTGCACAACTAACCGTGCCTCAAAACGGTCCACTGAGCCGTCGGCTCTGTATTTAACATCAAAAAGCCAATGACAACCCAATGGCCGTCTATCAGTAGGAAGGGGTACTAATTCCCACGTTTTATTACTTAAAAGGGCGTCATACTCTGTCTTTATTGCACACTCCCACTGCTTCACATGTGGGCTTTTCCTGGCCTCCTTAATTGACCTAGGAATAGGTATTCTGGCTGTCTTATTAATAGCTACAGTATTTAACTCTGTCACG